ATTTAAAATTTATCAAATTAACATTAAATTAATATTCAATATTTTGTTATTTTTGAAGTATAAATTGATGTAATTAAATGTTACCAAAAAAAACTTTAATTTAAAATTTATTTAAAAAAATTGAAGGTCAATTTTTTGGTGCCAATTTAATAAAAATTTGAATGCCGACTGTTAATTTAATGTTAATTTGATGAATTTTAAATTTATCATTTTGAATGTTAATTTAATAAAATCGAAGGTCAATTTAATATTATTTTTGATGAATTGAATGCTAGCTGGATGAAATTGAAAGGTAATTTTGTAAAATTACAAGTCAATTTGATGTAATTGAATATATAATTGAGACCAATTCACATGAAAAAAAGATCAAGTAGTCATGATCGATCCTATCTAATTGAAACATCTAGAATTTTTGGACTATCAAATGCATTAAGATCAATCCCATATACTTATGATTGAACCTAATTGATTAGAATTGCAAAAAAAATATATGTATAGTTTCATAGAATCTTTGGATCCATAAGAGACATTGGGATCGATTCTAAATAATCATGATCGATCATGATTATTGAGGTAAAATTACACTTTTTAAGCTAAAGTTACCACTTGCAAAAACAAAATTATATTCTCTTAAAAGTAAGGTTACCACATTTTAAGATAAAGTTACTACTTTCAAAGGTAATGTTAGAACCATTTGTGATTAAGTTACAGCCTAGAGAGGTAAAATTATAACTTTTAGAGTAATGTTATAACCTTTGAAGAGAAAGTTACAATTTTTTAAGGTAAAACTACAATCTTTGGAGGTAATAGTACAATTATTTGAGATTAAATTATAATTTGTAAAAGTAAAGTTATCACGTTTAGATGTGAGATACAATCTCTTTAGGTAAGGTTACAACCATTTAAATTAAATTTATCATCTTTCAATGTGTGGTTATAAACATTTGAGGCTAAGTTATAATATGTAGAGATAAAATTATCAATTTTAGAGGTTAGGTTACACTTTTGAAGTAAGATTATAACTATTTATAGTAAAATTACTATATTTGGATGTAAGGTTATAACCATTTAAGGTTAAGTTAGAAATAGTAGAGGTAAAACTATCACATCTAGAGGTGAGGTGAGGCTACAATTTCTTGACGTGAGCCTATAATATTTCAAGGTAATGTTACCAGTTTTAAAATTCTATTTGCGTCAATTAAAAATTATTTTTAATCGACTTAAACCAAATTTTAATCAACTCAAATTAAATTTTAATCGGCCCAAATTTTAATATATAAAAAAAATATAAATTTTAATTGACCCAAATTTTAATGAATAGAATTTTAATAAGTAAAAAAACATAAATTTTAATCAACTCAAAAACGAATTTTAATCTACACTAACAACTCTGGTAGAGCTCGAATCGAGTCGAATTTTAATATGTAAAATTTTTTTTAATAGATTTGAATTTTAATACGTAAATAAAATAAAATATAATCAGTTCGAATCGAATTTAATCAGCTCAAATTTTAATATATATAAAAAAATTTAATCAACTTGAATTTTAATATGTAAAAAAATAAATTTTAATCGACTCGAATTTTAATAAAATTTTATGTAGAAAAATTGCTTGGTGTTTATGTAGGGACATTTTTGGTGTTTTAGATGAATTTTTGTTTTTTTGGGTTAGAAATGGTGATTTAATGTACGGGATGTTAGTGATGATGGGTCAGGGCCAATGACTCAACTCATGTTATAAGTGCAGTTTAAATAAAGAACCCAACTAGAAGAGATTCAATGGGTCCAACTCAAAAGAGGTCCACGACCTAGTTAAGCTCATCAGGGTGCAAGAAGCTACATCGCAAAGGGAAGAGGCAGGGTCATTCTGAGAGCCTCATTCATGCCGCCTTGGAAAGAGTCGACTATCACGTCATTCTTTGACCTGATCTTGAGGAGAGCCTCACAACAGTCTCATCCGTTGTAAAGATAATGTCACCTCCACTAAATTAGTCTTTTAGTTACTGATAAACCGCCTCAATTTGTTAAGAGGCGACTATAAATTGAAAGTCCTACCAATACTTGGGAGCACCCCACATAATCGAGCACATTTAGTATCACGCTCCTCTCTCTCTCATAGCTTTTATCTCTTTACTCTTCCTACATTCCTCAAAGTAATAACGTACCAGACTATCATAACCCTTCATAGTGGACGTTGGTCAAGTTGACCGAACCATTCTGCATCTCTTGTCTCACTTGAGTTACTCTTTCTCTAGTTATTATTTGCATTAATTGTCAGTCACTTGATAGACGGTGTGCAAAATTAATTTGTGTATCATCAAGTGATATTTAAATATAAACTAAAAAGAGTGTTAATAATTTTTTTGATAATAGAATAGGTGTTCTTGAAGATATAATAAATTATAAGGAATGTGACTGAAATTTTTCTATATTTCTTTTACGGCGAAGAGAAAGGTGGAGTGTTTCCATTCCGTTACACACCTAACCTAACGACCTTAAAAATTAGGTAAGTTACATCTACAGAGGTTTATCACTAAAAAATAGAGATCCTCTCAGGATGCAAAATAACATATAACCCCTTGATGTTAAAGTAATTCTACATTGCAATCGAATCTTGATTATGTTAGAATATTTTCTTCACACAATTCTTAAATTACCCCTGAAACAAGAAGTCATCCCAAAACCCCTAAAATCCCAGTTTTTTTACATTTTCTTGAAAATCAAACACACGATCTCAACCAACCACCAAATTAGCACCTCAACCCTCTTCTATGGAGAAGGAGAGGTGAAGTGACTTTGAAACTGTCAGAGATATAGGTGGCAATGCAAGAGAGACAAGAGGATCGTGGAATGGTGGGGAGAAGGAATAGAGAATCAATAGAGGGAGGAGAAAGGTGGGGCTAGGGCTTTTTCACGACTCTGTGTGTGTGTGAGTGAGTGAGTGAGAAAGAAAGAGAGAGAGAGAGAGAGAGAGAGATGGTGTTCGACAGACAGTGGAACGGGGCCTTTGAGGAAGTTGAAGTACAGAGAAGGCAGTGGATATTTTTTTATAGGTGTAGGCCTGTTTGGAAATGAGTTGGAGATATTATGTGGTTAGATAGAGTTATCCAAGGGTTAGTTTTGGTTGGACCATTAGTAATGTTAAATTGGTCATTTTTTTCAGTATTGTCGGCAAACTATTATTGGTAGGGGTGTCGATGTAAATAATTATATCTGGGGTGTTCGTGTTCATTAGTGATAAACATTAGGGGACCTAAATAGAATTTACCCTAAAAATTAATACCAAACATCACATCCGTGGGATCTGGTAAAAGGTATATCTGATTTAGGTATAAGAATTGTATAAACAAGTAGGACACGAAAAAATACAATCAAGTTGGATAAGATACATAGTTTGAATAACATGTCACACTTTGTTAATTTGGGGTTTTTTGGCCAGTCAAATAGTTTGAATTTTGTATTGGTTCAAAGGTTGTAGCTGTAATAAATGCATGTAGGTGATGGGCCTGCCCAGATGAAGCCCAAATTAGAAATGGAAACTAGGCTTAAATTAGAGATGTAGATCCACCCTACATTACAGATGCATAACAACAAAAATTCAGTTACAATTGGTATGTGGTCAAACCCAATTTTATAAAAAGCCCAATTTTTCATCAACGCACTTGGGAGTCTCCATCCGAGGAAAAGAAATCATGAGTACACGGTCATCAAAGACACATCACCAGCCACACAAGATAGCCTAACAAGATTATCTCGCCCCGTTACAAGTTAGAGCGAGTTTCAAGAGATTAGCCCTCTATCATGTTGCCCATTGCAAGGATAAGGTGAGACTCACGTCATCACCCTACTCCTGGTGAGAATTGCGCCTCAATCAGTGTCCCTCGAAGCCAACATCACCTGTCTATAAATTGTAAGCTCCGCTTATACATAGAGGCATCACACACATCTTAGCACACTATACCTCTCAAATAAGATTGTCAAACTGCCATCACCATTTCTAGCAAAGTAGGTCACCCAGGCCAAACCATCTAATTTGTTATATTAAGCATTTCCATTACAGACATCATCATACACATAGTCATCAATGACACATCACTAGTCTCGCAAGGTTGCCCGACAAGATTACCTCACCCATTACAAGGTAGAGCGAGTTTCAAGAGATCGCCCCTCTATCATGTTGCCAGTTACAAGGATAGGGCGAGACTCACGACATCACCCTACTCCTAGTGATGATAGAGCCTCAATCAGTGCCCCTCGAAGCCAACTTTGCCTGTTTGTAAATTGTAAGTTTCGCCTACACATGGGGGCATCATACACTTCTTAGCACACTACATCTCTCAAATAATAAAATTCTCGAATTACCATCACCATTTCCAATGGAGTAGGACAACCAGATCAAATCACCTAATTTGTTATATTAAGCATCTCCATCACATACACTATCAGACACCCCATCACACTATTGATTGATTTTGCATAAACCCATTTTGTACATCATCAGATAGTATTCAGCCCAATAAGTTCGTTGTTATGACATCCTTCCACTCATTCTCCGATAGGTCCAACGAAGATTTTATATTCCCTAAGATACACAAAAAATTAGACTGTAATATATTCAAATCCTTAGTTAAGAGACTCTGTAATTAATCTCTTAGAAAAAAATAAGACTTAAGCTAGCAGTTACCATATTTTAGATAAAACACTTTCTAAAGAACAAAGAGATTTGAACTATTAACCAGAGAACTCGTCACTGTTTTGACTGTGCTATTGGAGACTCTGGAGAAGTCGGAATAGGAGAGTACTCATCTTGGGTGGTCTTACTACTTAACAAGGTTGACAAATCTACATGATACTACTTATGCTAAAAGTAAATAACCTATTTTTGACTTGTTCAAAGAAAGAATTAGTTGAAATGCGGTAAACTAACTGTGAAACCAAAAAAATAAAAAGACTAATCAAAATCTAACCAAACTAGTTGAAAACTGACTTTTCATATCAAGCTAAATTTTTACTCTAACACCAGCATTGTTTGCCAAAGCATCAATGACACCAAATGCATCCCAAGCTTTCTGGACGGACACGTCAATGGTGCCACCATCGACAGTCACATCTAGCTCAACGGCCACAGCTCGAGGACTGTTGCCAACTCGTGAATCAACCATTGAAGAAGGACTTGGAGTTGGAGAAGTGAACTGATTGATTTGGTCGCAAAGAGACTTGAGTCGGTCAATTCGACAAGCAGCTGCCACGACCTTGCAACCGGCCTTGGCTAGGTCGACACAGAATTCTCGGCCTAGCCCCGACTATGCACCGGTCACCATCACAACCTTGCCATCCAAGTTGCACCATGGCTCAAGCTTGCCTAACGCTTGATTTAATAATAAAGATTGTATCACATCATTTAAAATAAAAAATTTTATAAAAAATTTTTATAAATAAAGATGCGGGACCATATACAACTCCCCTTGTTAGTTAAGTTTCATAATATGTGGTTCAAACATTTTCACTTGCACACCAAAAGTGCAGTACAGTAAAAAACCGTCAGGTACTAGTGTTTTAAAACCCGGCCCGGCCCGGCGGGTTGACTTGGTGACCCGGTGAACCGATCCCCTAACCGGGTCGGTTTTGTAATTGGACCGTTTGAGCAAAGAACTCGGAATAAAATCGGTGAAAATCGGACCGGGTTTACAAAATCGGCCGGTTTTGTTTCTTTAGTATAAATATGTACTTTTATTACATTTTTGTGTCTTTTTCTTTTCCCCTTCTGTTTTTCCCTCTAAATCCTAAATCATTCGTTCAATGTTTGTTAACTCAAAAATTAAGTGAATACAATTAAGTGATTCAAGTTTGAGGGTGGAGGCTGGACTGTTAATTGAATGCATTGGTTTATTAATTGAATGCAATTAAGTAATTTAGGCTTGATAACTTTGTTTGATTTAATATATATTAAACATGTTATTTTTATAACTATTTTAATTTTTTAGTCTATTTATCATCATTAATAATTATTGTTTATTTTTTTATTATATCACCAGTTCGACCAGTGACCCAGTGGTTGAACCAGAAATCCATTGACCCGGTCCCTTCTCCGAGTTGGTGTCCGGGCCGGGTTTTAAAACTATGCCAGGTACTATACTGCGAATGAAAAGGATGATAATTTTTGGTTGATGATATGTTTACTAATTTTTTTTATTAAATTTTTATTTTAAATGATGTGGTATAATTTGTCACTATCAGATGAGTGAGTGTTATTAATGTATAATGATAGAGATTATGTCACATTATTTAGAATAAAAAATTTGGTAAACATACCAAAAATTTGGTATTTTTCATAATTTTTAGGCATTAACTATTATCCAGTGCAGGTAATATCTCCGCCTCCAAAAGTTGTAATTTTACCTACAGGTAATTTTGTGAGCTTATAAACGCAACTTAGGAGATTGTAAACTTAGAGGTGTTAATTTTAAACTTAATTAATTTTAAATAGTTATAATCTCACATTCAAATGTAATAACTTTACCATAAATTTTTATAACCTTATTTTAAAAGATTGTAACCTAACATCTAAAATTGATATTGATAATTTTACCTTTACAAACTGTGACTTATCCTCAAATGATTATAGCATCATCTTCAAAGATGATAACTTTACTTTAATCAGTTGTAAATTGTAACATTATTTAAAGAGCTTGAACATCGCTTCTAAGGGTGATAACTTTACTTTTACAAATTATAAATTAATCTTAAATGGTTATACATTTACCTTTAAAGGTAGTAGTTTTACCATAAAAGTTTGTAACCTTCCTTTCAAAAGTTATAACCTCACCTTTAAAATTGATAATTTTACATTTATAAGTCGGAACTTATCTTTGAAAGTAGTAACTCTATCTTAAAAGGTAGTAATCTTACGTCAAGAGATTATAACTTTGTATTTACAAGTAATAACTTTACTTTAAATGGTGTAATTTCATTTGAATGGTCTTGATCGATCATAATTATTTGGGATCAATCCCGATGTCTTTGATGGATCTAAATATTCTATGAAACCATTTTTTTTTTTTACATTTCCACTTAATTAGGATCAATCATGACTATGTGGGATATGTGTTAATGCATTTGATGGTTCAAAAATATTTTCAAACAAAATTTCTAAAGGTTCCAATTAGATAAGATCTATTATGACTAGCCGATTTTATTTTGTTTAAACTAGTTCCAATCATATATTTAGTTGCATTAAATTGACCTATAATTTTACGAAATTATTTTCCAATTTTATCCAACTAACATTCAACGCAACAAAAATGACATTAAATTGACCTTCATTTTTATTAAATTAACATTCGAAATTATAAATTTAAAATCCATCAAATTAACATTAAAGTAATATTCAATATTTTGTTATTTTTGAAGTATAAATTGATGAAATTAAATGTTACCAAAAAAAATTTAAATTTAAATTTTATTTGATTAAATTTATTTAAAAATTTTATTTAAAAAAATTGAAGGTCAATTTTTTGGTGCCAATTTAATAAAAATTTGAATGTTGAATGTTAATTTGATGAATTTTAAATTTATAATTTTGAATGTTAATTTAATAAAATTGAAGGTCAATTTAATATTATTTTTGATGAATTGAATATTAGTTGGATGAAATTAAAGGTAATTTCGTAAAATTACAAGTCAATTTTATGTAACTGAATATAAGACTAAGACCAATTCACATAAAAAAAAAAGATCAAGTAGTCATGATCGATCCTGTCTAATTGCAACCTGTAGAATTTTTGGACCATCAAATTAAGATCGATCTCATATAGTCATGATTGAACCTAATTGACTAGAATCGCAAAAAAATACATGTATAGTTTCATAGAATCTTTAGATCCATAAGAGACATTGGGATGGATCCTAAATAATCATGATCGATCACGATTATTGAGATAAAGCTACACCTTTTAAGTTAAAGCTATCACTTGCAAAGACAAAGTTATAATCTTTTAAAGTAAGTTTACCACCTTTTAAGATAAAGTTACTACTTTCAGAGGTAAGGTTAGAACCATTTGTGATTAAGTTATAGCCTGGAGAGGTAAAATTATAACTTTTAGAGTAATGTTATAACCTTTGAAGGGAATGTTACAACCTTTTAAGGTAAAATTACTATCTTTGGAGATAATGGTACATTTATTTGAGATTAAATTATAAGTTGTAAAAGTAAAGTTATTACGTTTTGATGTGAAATACAAGCTCTTTAGGTAAAGTTACAACCATTTAAATTAAATTTATCATCTTTCAAGGTGAAGTTATAATCATTTGAGGCTAAGTTACAGTATATAGAGATAAAATTTTCAACTTTAGAGATTAGGTTACAACCTTTTAAAGTAAGATTATAACCATTTATAGGATAGTTACTATCTTTGGATGTGAGATTATAATTATTTAATGTTAGGTTACAAATAGTAGAGGTAAAGTTATCACATCCAGTGGTGAGGTGAGGTGAGGTTATAATTTCTTGACGTGAGCTTATAATATTTCAAGGTAATGTTACTACTTTTAGAGACAATATTATCACTATTATAGGTAAATTTACAACTTTTAGAGAAAATAAGGAGAGAAAATATTATCAATACTTCCTACGTTTCATCCTTCTTATTAAATACAAAAGAAAGAAGAAAGGACTTTTCGGTTAAAGAATAAAAAATGTATTACTCTCACTTTTTATGTTTCTATTTTTTCATTCACCCTATCAAACACGTCATTAGATTCACAAAGGTTTGCTCATGATTTTTAGGGCTTTTTAAAGGCCATGGTTAAAAAAGTGTTACTCACTGAGGCCTGAATATCTTTAGGGTGATTTGGAAGTCGGTACAATTTTTTAAACTTATTTAAGCAAAAATACAATACAAAAACTTATTTGAGGTAAAGTGCATATTTTTAAAAATAACACTATTGTCATTCGGTAAACAACTGCTGAGTAGAAACTATTTGTATTCCTTTCGAAAATTTTGGCTACAAACAAATAGTGAGAGTTCAAAAATAGGGGCTTTAATTATCTAATCCCTTCTTCTTTGGTAAAAAGGATTCTATGTCCATGGGATTCGATTAAATGTCATAACTGTTTGAATGTTAATAAACACGAAATTTGTCCCAAAAAAAAAGAGGAATACGATATTTACCATCCTACTGTTCATCATCGCCTACGGTGTCTAGTACTTTTCATCATCTCCGACCACTTTTTCACTGAAAATTTCAGGTGATATTCATGTTTCATTTTTTGTCATTCATTAATTATCTAGTTTTTTTTTCACAAAACTGTGTAATTCGTTTTTGATAAAAAAAAAAAAGGCAAAATCATAAAACCCTATGATATCTTTGCCTTGACTTTGAAAGTTGCGCATTTGCCTCTAAAGGTTGTAAATTTTCCCGATGATAATTTTGTAAGTTTATAAACTCTCCTCAAGAGGTGCAGAGGTTACCTCTACTTTTTGTAACTTAATTTTAAATAGTTATAACCTCACATTTAAATATAATAATTTTATCATAAACAGTTATAACCTTATTTTACAAGGTTATAACCTAAGATTGATAATTTTACTTTTATAGATTGTAACTTAGTCTCAAATGACGATAACATTATCTTCAAAGGTGATAGCTTTATTTTAAAATGTTGTAACCTTACCTAAAGAACTTGTATATCACTTTTAAGGGCTAGTTTATTTTGGGGATAGGAGTGGTATAAAGAGACGGAATTAGGAAAATAGTATGTGAGACCCATCTTATACCTTATTTGTTTAGTATTTTACAATCAGTACTATTTTTCAGATCGTAATACTGACCTGATTTGAATAGTGTCCTTAATACCTTCTAGATGGTATCAATGAATATCACCTACTAGGTGGTATTATTTTGAAACAAATGAAAGGACGGTATAAGAAAAATGACACAAATGTCCTCCTATGTGAAGAGTTCATGTATAAAAAATTTATTTTTAATTTTTTCCTTATATTATAATAGTTAAGCGTATAATGTCACATGTTTTTTTAAATTTTTTTAAAAAATTTATTTTGAATTTTTTTCTTGTATTATATTTAAACGTACGATGTTAACAGTTTTTTTTTAATTTTCTTTTAAAAAAATTATTTTAAATTTTTTTTTTTATTATGTTTAAGCGTGTAGTGTCACCGATTTTTTTTTAATTTTTTTAAAAAATTATTTTAAAATTTTTCCTTATATTATGTTTAAGTGTATGATGTTAACAAATTTTTTTAGTTTTTTTTAAAATTATTTTAAATTTTTTCCTTGTATTATATTTAAGCGTACAGTGTAATTAGGTTTTGTTTAAAAAATTATTTTAAATTTTTTTCTTGTATTATGTTTAAGCGTACAGTGTCACTGATTTTTTAAAAAAAAAAATTTTAAAAATTATTTTGAATGAAATGGATGATGTTAAGGATAAAATGGTATATTTGTTATATAAAATGTGATAAAATAGACTAGTCATAACCTGTGCCTGAAGGCACGATAACACATGAAATTCGAACGTCTAAAAAATTGATCCTACTATATTATATAAATTTTTTTTCATTTATTTGGTTACATCATTTAAAATTTATTTTTACCCATTTTTTTAAAAAAATATCAACAAAAATACGTAATGTGATAAATTTTCTCAACATGTGTATATTATCGTGTATAGATAATGTTTGAAATAAAAATTATGTTAAACTACAAATTAATTATATATTAAATTATTAAACATGTGATATAAATGAGTGATGATATAATTTTGAGAGGAAAAATATGTATGATATAAAATTTCAAACTCCTAATTACTTTATTATATAGATGGTTATTTGTGAGATCCATTATTTTATCTATTGAATAAACAAACATGAGAGGAGATTTAAATAAATTTTATTATCGGTACTAATATCCATTGGTATTGAAAATGTAAGGAATACATTTCCAATACCAAGCTTATATAAAAAGTTGAAACAAACATGCCCTAAAGGTGATAACTTTACTTTTACGAATTATAATTTAATCTTAAATAGTTATATCTTTACCACTAAAAGTTACAGTTTTACCTTAAAAGTTTGTAACTTTCATTTCATAAATTATAACATCACCTTTAAAAATGATAATTTTACCTTTATAAGCTGTAACTTAACCACAAATTGTTGTAACCTTACCTCCGAAAGTAGTAACTTTACCTTAAAATGTGGTAATCGTAGAAGTTATAATTTTGTTTTTGCAAATAGAAACTTTATCTTAAAGGGTGTAATTTCACCTCAATATTCATAATCAATCGTGATTATTTGAGATCGATCCCATTGCCTCTTATTGATTTAAATATTTTTATTATTGTAATAATTCTGATATATATTTATTTAAAAATATTTTTCTTGGTTATTGATATGTGAAAATACTTGCTAAATTTTTGTATTCAAATTAAGCTGTTATGTTTTTCCAATCAATAATATAGCTAATTCATCTAATATTTCTAATTGAGAAACAGAGAGTGAGTTTGTTTATGATTGTTATGTTTTATTTAGTAAGATAGAAAAATAGAATGATAAAAAGTTTGAAGGAGAAATAAAATATTATGTTTAATATAAAAAAAAATAGGAAAGATAAAAAAGTGGAATAAAATCAATCTCTTCAAAATTGAGAGAAAAAATAGGTGAAAAATTAAATATTTGTGTTGAAATATTTCATATTTATGTATATATTCTTTATTATATGCATATATTATGTATATATTAACTTCATAAACAGATATAATGATAAAATATGTATCTATAATTTTTTTTTATTCTTCAATTTTTCTATCTTATCAAAAAAAAAAAAATTAGTTCTTCATATTTTTCATCATTCCTACCAAATACAAAGAAGAAAAATAAGGACTTTTTTTTTTTTAAGAATAGAAAGTGTATCACTTTTACTTTTTATCATTATATTTTTATATTCATCTTACCTAACACATTGGGTGTGTTTGAATAATCGACAAAGATAAGAATGAATTGAATTGTTTGTATCTTAACCCATCCCATCCAAACCTAATCACGGATTTAATTGGATGGGTTATGGAAGCCATACATTCCAAACCATTATTTGGCGAGAAACAATTGAATTGGATAAATCCAACCTTACCTTTTTATAAATATTTACTATTGTAACCATTGATATTTCCAATTCAAGAAAAGTAGTACATACATCACAAATATCCCGATGAAGGTTGTCTTCTTTGTGCTGTGTTGGAGAAAAAAAATCAGTGATATTTTTTTATTTTTAATTACATATTTATTTATTTTCATAATTTTTTTAAGCTCCGGTAATATAAAGACCCAGATCTGAGGTGTTCAATTCCACAAAAAAAAAATTGGTGCTTCGTGTTCACCCATTAAACACCTGAAAGAGAGAGAAGAGACACACACAAATCTGCTCATTTTGTGGGCAATTGTATGGGAAAACTGAAGCTCGGAGATTTGAAACTTTGAAGTTATACAAATGAAAAGTAAAAGCTTCTTTGTATGGACGAAACGGTGCATATAGATTGCCATACACTTTACTGTTTAGGTTCTTTAGCCAATTTCCTTATCATCTTTTTTGTTTAATAAGTTTATATAATTCTTGACACACACACACAGATCTGAATACCCAAACAACTCGTCATTTCTTAACTTCTTCAGATCACCAATACACAACAACCCAGAATAAGAGAGGCTTTAGAAAGAGACAGAAGCAAATCAAAATGAAACGATTTTTGAATGGAAGAGATAGACAGAAAAAGAATAAGACATCGAAAATTTGTATACCGAAATTACATATAAGATGTTAAGGGCTTGGGGTTCAACAGATAATATTTTTTTTTAAAAAAAATCCTCCTTAAAGATGAAGAGAAGAATATTCAAGAAAACACAGATCTTCCTCTCTTCTTTGCGTTCCCCTTTTTTGCCTTCAATGGAGGAGTCCCTTCTTCTCTGCGCTTAAGATAGAGTAAGGGGATTTTTCTTTTTTTTTTTCTGCATCGAAGATGGACAAGTGGAGGAGAAGGGCTGTGGTTCTCTGCCATCTACTACATTCCTTTGCATTTGGGAAAAGCAAGGGTAAAATAATAATTTTGCCTCGATCCTATCGGCTGGGTTTGTAATCCAAGGAGAAGGTGGGTTACGTTTAATCGGTGTAGGGGGTTAAAATGTACCGTAACAATTGGATTAAAGTTTAACCCGAGATTTATACCCTGCCTCAATTTTAATTTCTCAAACAAAGGATATGTAGGACTCGTATCATTGTTAATCTATCCTTATGAATATTAACCTATCTTATCCCTCTATCCAAACATACCCATTAGGTTTACAAAAGTTTACTCCTGATTTTTAGGGCTTTTTAAGGGTCTTGGTTAAAAAAGTGTTAATTTTAATGGCCCCCTGGGCATGGAATAGCATTGAGTCAGACTCAGACAACACACGGAGGCCCATGAGTTTTAATTTTCCCGCTGTTTTACAGAGTAGAGGAACGAGTGGCGTTTGCGAATGGACAAAACAGCAGAGCAACTGTGAAATGTCTGTCAGTTTTTCAATAATGCTACTTAAGAAAGTTGTTCAACGGGGTAATAATGACCGGGCGGCGAATCGAGCTACTGCGGCGTCGTACAGGCTGGTCCCGTATTTCAATTGGACCTACGGGCGCACAGGCAGTATAGAAAAGGTTGGTCCATTTAAAGGGTTTGTGCGCAAGAACACGCCAAGTTTTTTACGGATGCTGGCTTGGGCACTTGGCCCCAGCGAATGAGTTCAAATCGAATTTAAAAAATTTGTTTTTTAAAATGAGTCGAATTCGAGTAAAGTCCGAGCCGAATTTGAATATTTATACAAAAATGAGCCAAGTTTATAGAACTTGTTTTCTAAACGAGCGTAAAAACTTATTCAAGTTCAGACTCGTTTAAAAAACAAACCAAGCCTGAACAAACCGAACTCAAGTCAAGCTCGAAAAACTCAATTTAATTAACAGCCCTAATAAGAACTTTAGTTTGGATGATTTAGAATCTGGGCCAAATGGGTTCATTCTCTCCCTCATTTTTTTTTATGTAACAAATGCAAAGTAAAAAATTCTTGATTCCTAGCCTCTTTCTTTTTTGAACTAAATAAGTTTGTCGTAAAAAGGAATCTCAACAAAAAAAAAAGTGATAGTTGAATCTATCAATAGCCAACTAAAAAGAAATATAGTTCCTCTAATGAATCTCTTAATAAAAACAATTGCGAACAAATCTCTATAAGGTCGAGTTTTGAGAAATGAAATTCATCCTTAGTATAAATGTTTCATCACCAGTAATTTGAATAAAATAATGCTAATGAACTTGTTTTCGGCTAAAAACAAGAAGGAGACAAAACAATAGAAGTCACAAATAAAAAATTCTCTTGTATTTATTGCACTTTCTCAGACTTTTTAATTGTCTTTAAGCACACATCTTTGCTCCTATTGATAGATTCGGTAGATAAAACAAAGACCAAAATCACGAATTATGTCGCGGACACTCCCCAAAAGAGAAGTTACTTTGTTCGGGTTTGACTTGGCCAAATGAGTTTAATTTCTCTTTCTCTATCCTATTTTAATTAAAATATTTTTATATAAGAATAGAAAGCCGGTGAAAGAGATCAATAGTCTTTTTATTGGTCAAAGAAAGATAATTAGTTAAATGAATAAAATTTCAAGGCCACATTGCGTAATTATTGTTGATAGGCAGTATCATTAACCAATTGTAAAGACACAAATATAATAAACACACATTTAATATAGTAATTAGACATTATGGCTGTTGACGACTATTAAAATGGTAGGATTAATTAAATCAATAGCATGTTATATAATTAATTCATAAATTACATGGAAATAATGATATTATTGTATATTTACTCCTAGTTAAATTTTTGTGACAATGACAATTTATAGGTAGTTGAAAATGAGTTCTATGAGCATAAGTATCTCAAAATTAATTGGAATAAATAAAATTTCTGAATGTGTAGTAAATATCTTTTTTATTTGCAAAAATTTTCAAACTAATTTAAATTTCTTTTCAATCGATTGAAATGTTTGAAATATTTTTATTTTTTTTAAAAAAGAAATAAATCAGTTGGTTGAATAGCAATTGTTTTATATTTAAAAATGTTTTGATATGTTTCAGTATATTTCTGAATGTATAGAAAATAATTTTTTTATTTGCAAAAATTTTAAAAATACTTTGGAATTATTTTTTAAAAAATTTGGGAAGAGGAGCCAAACTCCATGAACTGAGGGCCGACACACGGCCAGTGGGCATGGAATAAGAGCAGATAGAATAATGATTAGACCAAGAGGTGTCACGTGCCAATTGTCACGCTTGAACTTATGGATTCAGATTCTCCGGGATGCTGTAATCATTCCAGCATTCGAGGATTTTGATACCCTTTGACAGCTCGTGTTCTTTTGTCTCCCAATATTACATGATATAATTATTTAATAAGTAAATTTGAGTGGATGAAATAATTGTTGTACGTACAATAATAATCATCCTCAATGAAGAATTGAGGTTTATCTTGTTTATTTATTGAGTCACAGTTAGACAGTTGCACTACTCAATAATACTGATGATGCGTAATTGTTCCATTATGAATATTTACAACTCTTTCATATTGGATATAGCTTGGTATTGTTTATCAGAAAAAAATAGACCTTTGTATTAAAAAAAATAAAAATAATACACGTGGTACTATTGGTCTATTACTCTCACGTATATTCTTTATCCTTTCAACGTCTCTTGTTATAGAATAACAATCGAAAAATTTATCATTTTTCACACACACCCTAAATTGTCGTTTTCCACTTTGGTACAAGACAAATAGCTAGATAAAAGAGGGTATAAATGATTTTCAATAAAATTCTTTCGATATTTAAGTCAATAATTATGTGAGAAAAATAATTGAAACAATTCAAAAGAATTCTTCCTGGGGGAGGGGGTGAGATTGAGCTCAGCATAACTCACAGAGTCAAGACCAACAAAGAAAAGGCCAATAGAAGGGCTGAGGCCTGATGGGCCCATTAAAACTAAATTGTATAGCCCGTGATGGAAAATGGTGGCCCTAGAAAGTTTTTATCAGTCCAGCTTAAGACCCAACCTGTCCTGGGTGGACATTGGCTATAAAATATGGGTCGGACTAGCTTAGAACATCGTATGGGTGCGTTTGGATAACCGGTAAGGAAAAGAAATGATAGGACTTTTTGTTTCCTAATCCATCCCACTTAAACCCAATCGGCCACTTAATTGGATGGATTATGATTCCTATCCAATCCAAACCATTGTTTGGCAAGAAACAAATCAATTTTGTTGGCCCACGTACTTTGACATTTTGCTTTTGTACAAGTTTACCATTTTAACCATTCACCAACGTTAATTTCAAAGAGATNATCCAAACCATTGTTTGGCAAGAAACAAATCAATTTTGTTGGCCCACGTACTTTGACCTTTGCTTTTGTACAAGTTTACCATTTTAACCATTCACCAACGTTAATTTCAAAGAGATGAGAAACAGAACAAAACAGATCTGTCTGAACCATAATCAGGCAAAGAGAGTGAGAGAGAGATCTAGAGAGCAGCAGCGGGAGAGTGAGAGACAGATCTGGAGTTTGTTATCTTATTCGTGGTGGGTTAGAGATTCTGATTAATAAGAAATTTTTTGAAAAAAAAACTCTACACCCAATAACCAAATCCTCCTCTCCACTTTCGTTTATGGCCTAGTAAGAAATTCCACAAAAAAATGTTTGTTGATGAGTTATGGCTTCTGGTTCAACAACTCGAAGAAATTTTAAAAAAATTTAAATCTGTCATAGGTTTGGAGAGAACATATCTCAACACCCTGGTGGTTTTCTCCTGTTGCTTTTAAGTTGATGAATAGTGGAATGGAGGCTAGTGTATTGAAGAGGATGAGAAGCCCTAGCAAGGGCACAATCGAGTCTGATCTTCCTGTCATCCACAGTCGACTTCCTCTGGTTTGGGGAAAGCAAGGGCAAGTGATCCAGGGTTAAATGGTAAAAAATGGGTATTATAGTAATTAGGCAATATATCCCGTTGGTTTGTTTTGTAACCCATGGGGGAGGTGGGTTACATTTAACCCGTGTAACTTGGATAAAAAATACTGTAGCACTCGGGTCAAGATTTGACCCAAGATTTATATCCTCACTCAATTTTTGCTTCCCAAACAAGGGTTTTCTGGGACTCATTGCCTTATTAGCCTATCTATATGAATGTTAACCCACTTTAACCTACTACCCAAACACACCCTATATGCAGAAAAAAATTTCATTACAATGGTGATGCAGCACCATCACCAAGTATCATTAATTAGTAATGTGTAAACAAATAAGAAAATAAACCTCAAGGCAAACTAATAATTATCTATTCATATAAGCCATTAACTACTAACTCTTATCTCATAAAAACAATAACTATCCAAATGGTGATACCATGTCAATTTTAAATATTTTCTCCCCATATTTAACCCTTACAGCTAAGGCCATGCTTGAAATAGTCATGCAAAGGTTGAATATAGGAATTCATAATCCCAAGGTTATTAATAAAGACGAGTTGCAAAATTAGATGTCATGAATTCAAATTTAGCAATCCTTTATAATCAAACCATGATGAATTTATCCTCTATAAATACTCTAGTCTCCAGCATGGATAGCCTATTTTTGATCGAATTGATAAGAAAATTAATTGAGTTGCACGTAAGCAGGCCTAGATACTCTAGCCCGTCAAACCAAATTTATGAAGATACTCTTACAAAATTTGTATTTTGAATTCACTTAAACTTAATCAAATAAAATGACACATTTACTATCTAATTAAATATTAATGAAACTCACTTATTTGATGGTGCTACTGTGTCGTATCATTATGTAAATAAGATTTAATTTAAAATGTGATAAGAGTTGCATTGTTATAAAGAAATTTAGAGACTGAACTCAATTGGCAACAAACTACAACTATAACCTCCCCATATCACTATTTTATCATGTAATGCCTACTGTTTTATTAAAAGTCTCATTGACAATATTTAAGATGGAAAGCAAATATAATAGTGGTGTGACATAAAACCACTTCCAATAGAGAAATAATGAAGTGCATTGGCCATCACGTGCATAACACAAGACCCCCAGTAAGTATATACTAACGCTAGTATTACATTTAATCAAACTCTGTTCCAGACCCAAGTTCGATTTCACTTCTCTTCCCCTTCAAACACCTTTCAAGATTTCTTCAAACCTTGGCCAAGGGTGTCGGTTAGAGAATGAGAGAATGAGAACTTATTTATTTTATTGTTATTTACAATTATTTATTTAGTGAGTTCAAGANTAGGAATTCATAATCCCAAGGTTATTAATAAAGACGAGTTGCAAAATTAGATGTCATGAATTCAAATTTAGCAATCCTTTATAATCAAACCATGATGAATTTATCCTCTATAAATACTCTAGTCTCCAGCATGGATAGCCTATTTTTGATCGAATTGATAAGAAAATTAATTGAGTTGCACGTAAGCAGGCCTAGATACTCTTGCCCGTCAAACCAAATTTATGAAGATACTCTTACAAAATTTGTATTTTGAATTCACTTAAACTTAATCAAATAAAATGACACATTTACTATCTAATTAAATATTAATGAAACTCACTTATTTGATGGTGCTACTGTATCGTATCATTATGTAAATAAGATTTAATTTAAAATGTGATAAGAGTTGCATTGTTATAAAGAAATTTAGAGACTGAACTCAATTGGCAACAAACTACAACTATAACCTCCCCATATCACTATTTTATCATGTAATGCCTACTGTTTTATTAAAAGTCTCATTGACAATATTTAAGATGGAAAGCAAATATAATAGTGGTGTGACATAAAACCACTTCCAATAGAGAAATAATGAAGTGCATTGGCCATCACGTGCATAACACAAGACCCCCAGTAAGTATATACTAACGCTAGTATTACATTTAATCAAACTCTGTTCCAGACCCAAGTTCGATTTCACTTCTCTTCCCCTTCAAACACCTTTCAAGATTTCTTCAAACCTTGGCCAAGGGTGTCGGTTAGAGAATGAGAGAATGATAACTTGTTTATTTTATTGTTATTTATAATTATTTATTTAGTGAGTTCAAGAAAAACTAATACTTTTTAAATGGATTTTTTCTTTATACAAGATAAATGATTTCTCATCGACATAAATTTAAACAAACATATTAGATTGATATATGAATTCGTTACATAGATATTTCTTGAATGTGGTCAGATTATCAACTTTATTTTTGTATCACTCAAACAATCTAAAAATAAAAATGAAGTGCTTCGCCTTCGCATTAACCGGGACTATTTCGCATCAATTTGCCATCCAATCTAGTCTATTATTGTCTTCTCATCTTCATCCCAATTGTAGTCTTTAACATTCTCTCCAATTATTAGCTTGTTCATATAAAATATGACTCAATCCTATTCAACCTAAACCAAACTTCAAACCTAACCCATCACACATGGGCATACATCCCCTGTTTTGTCTAAAGCTTTATAGCAGACAAAAGTAACTTTGTGCCAAACGCCAATTTTTTAAGGTTGTATCCTACAGAAAATCAGGAGAGAGAAACTAAAGGTGGGTCCCGAAAGGAAAATGTTTTTCCAACCGAGGGAGAGGAGAAAATTTTTTTTTCAATGTATGTTGCATAAAGAAACTATATTTATAGCAAGCTACAGAAAAAGTAGAGAGAATCTTGCGAGGAGGCTCTCTCAGGCTCAGCACTCAGCATCTGACTCTGGTTTGTTTCCCCTTTTCTTTTACTTTTCCTTCCTCTCCTTTCTTTTTCTCTCCGATGCTGTTTGGTCTTTTCTCTCTCTTAGAGAATGATAGCAGATGCTGCTTCNAATAGAGAAATAATGAAGTGCATTGGCCATCACGTGCATAACACAAGACCCCCAGTAAGTATATACTAACGCTAGTATTACATTTAATCAAACTCTGTTCCAGACCCAAGTTCGATTTCACTTCTCTTCCCCTTCAAACACCTTTCAAGATTTCTTCAAACCTTGGCCAAGGGTGTCGGTTAGAGAATGAGAGAATGATAACTTGTTTATTTTATTGTTATTTATAATTATTTATTTAGTGAGTTCAAGAAAAACTAATACTTTTTAAATGGATTTTTTCTTTATACAAGATAAATGATTTCTCATCGNTTTTTTTCTGACAAATTTTGATTCTTCGAATTCTTAGGCTGCTCTTCCTCAGGGAATTGTCCCTTTTGTCTTTGCCAAGGAATACAACGTTCATCCCGACATACTAAGCACTGGGTTAGAACACAGACATTCCTCCTTTTACTATCTCATGTGTGACAAAAACATAATGTACATTTGCACTTTCTATGATCGCATAATTGAACGTGGATATGCAACTATTTATGCTTGAGCTTTAGGGTGTTATCAACACATGCTTCTTTCGCCAAGTAGTGAATACTGGTATTCATGCATTATTTGAGCGCATGGAGTGCGATATTAATTTGTAGTGTGCATGTTATATTGATTCCAAACGCTTGTAACCCATTTATGTGAGAGCTTGATGTTTAAAAGGCGAGGATTTTTTTTAAAAATTGCATGTCGAGCGATGAAACTTTACTTCATCTAAATGCATTACAAGCCTTATTCGGATTATTTGAGACCAACTACATGAATTGTTTGTCCAATACTATTAAGAATAATTGCACTCACGTGATTGGTGATATTTTTTTCTCAGTTGCATGGTTTATATTCTCTTTTTTGGTGCAGGGTTATATTTGGGATGTTGATTGCTCTGCCTATTACTCTTGTGTACTACATTTTGCTGGGACTCTGACGATTAAGCAGGAAAAGCTCCCCAAGGCTAAGCTAAGCTAATCACAAGAGTTCTGACCCTTTTGGTATGGGTTTTTTTTTGGCTCCTAACAAGAAACATAGAANGGGTGTCGGTTAGAGAATGAGAGAATGATAACTTGTTTATTTTATTGTTATTTATAATTATTTATTTAGTGAGTTCAAGAAAAACTAATACTTTTTAAATGGATTTTTTCTTTATACAAGATAAATGATTTCTCATCGACATAAATTTAAACAAACATATTAGATTGATATATGAATTCGTTACATAGATATTTCTTGAATGTGGTCAGATTATCGACTTTATTTTTGTATCACTCAAACAATCTAAAAATAAAAATGAAGTGCTTCGCCTTCGCATTAACCGGGACTATTTCGCATCAATTTGCCATCCAATCTAGTCTATTATTGTCTTCTCATCTTCATCCCAATTGTAGTCTTTAACATTCTCTCCAATTATTAGCTTGTTCATATAAAATATGACTCAATCCTATTCAACCTAAACCAAACTTCAAACCTAACCCATCACACATGGGCATACATCCCCTGTTTTGTCTAAAGCTTTATAGCAGACAAAAGTAACTTTGTGCCAAACGCCAATTTTTTAAGGTTGTATCCTACAGAAAATCAGGAGAGAGAAACTAAAGGTGGGTCCCGAAAGGAAAATGTTTTTCCAACCGAGGGAGAGGAGAAAATTTTTTTTTCAATGTATGTTGCATAAAGAAACTATATTTATAGCAAGCTACAGAAAAAGTAGAGAGAATCTTGCGAGGAGGCTCTCTCAGGCTCAGCACTCAGCATCTGACTCTGGTTTGTTTCCCCTTTTCTTTTACTTTTCCTTCCTCTCCTTTCTTTTTCTCTCCGATGCTGTTTGGTCTTTTCTCTCTCTTAGAGAATGATAGCAGATGCTGCTTCTGCCTTTGCTTGAAGATGCCTCTCTCTCTCTCTCTCTTAAAATCTCTGTAACCCTATAAGAGGAGCACTCTCTTTCCCAACATCAAAAGACTATAAAAAAGCTACCCAAAAGACCTCAGCTTTTATTTCTTTGTCTGCCATTTATTTCCCATAAATATAACACATCACTTCTGTCGTCCCCCACATATCTCTCTCTCTCAAAATCTCGCCAGAAAATCAGGTCACCAAACATTTTCCGGCATTTCCCTCACTCTTCCTTCCTCTATTCTTTCTCTCTCTCTCTCTCTCTCTCTCCCCCCAGTTTCTTATCCTTGTTTTCATTAAATTAACGCTATGAAAATCGATAAATATCAGCTTGTTCTCTTCTGGGGTTTGTTTGTATGCCTCCATTTCATTCTCTAACCAACACACCAGATACCTCTGTTTTATGTTCTCTTAGCTTTCTCGTCATCTTCTCTGACCACAGCTAGAAACTCGTTCCAGGAATCAACTCTGTTTTAGTTCTTTCCTGAACTACAGTTTCCCAAGAAAAAAACTACAGGAGGAAAAGTGAGAGAAAAGCAGTTTTATTTTCCATAGTCTGTGAAACCACGTCTGGGTTTTGTGATTCGCCCTATTTTCTCGGCTGAGTATTCCACAAAACCCACAACCGACAACCCATTTCAAGAAAAGAGAAGTCTAACCAGAAGCAAGGAAAAATGATCACACTCTTAGACCTGTATCATGTCCTCACAGCTGTAGTTCCCCTCTATGTGGCCATGATCTTAGCTTATGGTTCAGTGAAGTGGTGGAAAATCTTCAGCCCAGACCAGTGTTCAGGCATCAATCGATTTGTGGCCCTCTTTGCAGTCCCTCTACTTTCTTTCCACTTTATCTCCACAAACAATCCCTATGCCATGAACTACAGGTTCATAGCAGCTGATACTCTCCAAAAAATCATGGTCCTTGTTGTTCTAGCCATTTGGTCAAGAACCAGCTCTAGAGGCTCCCTTGAATGGTCCATCACTCTGTTTTCTCTTTCCACACTACCAAACACTCTTGTCATGGGCATTCCTTTGTTAAAGGGTATGTATGGTGAAGCATCCGGAAGCCTAATGGTCCAAATAGTTGTGCTTCAATGCATAATATGGTACACTTTGATGTTGTTCTTGTTTGAGTACAGAGGAGCTAGGCTTCTGATTGCAGAACAATTTCCAGACACTGCCGGGTCCATAATATCATTTAGAGTTGACTCTGATATCATATCTTTGGATGGTAAAGAGCCATTACAAACTGAGGCTGAGGTTGGTGAAGATGGGAAGCTTCATGTAACTGTGAGAAAATCAACAAGTTCAAGGTCTGAGATTTTCTCAAGGAGATCCCATGGGCCTAACTCTGGTGTTTCATTAACACCAAGGCCATCAAACTTGACTAATGCAGAGATTTACTCTCTGCAATCTTCAAGAAACCCAACCCCAAGAGGTTCAAGCTTTAACCATACTGATTTCTATTCATTGGTAAATGGAAAGAATGCAAGCAATGTGAGNGGGGGGGGGGGGGGGGAGTGGAAGACATTCCTCAAAGAAGTCTGGTAGAGAGAGAGAGAGAGAGAGCATAATGATGAATTACATATGATTGTTAACAGCTAGTAGAATTTTTTGTTGTCTTTGGCCTTGGAAAACCATGTGCTCTCTTTTGCTTTTGTTCTTTTGATGATCAAAAAAGTGTATCTTGTTTGTGCTTGAGATACTACTACTTTCCACCTATCCTTGTGAAGTGGTCAAAAAGATTTTAACCTAGATGGAATCTCTATGCACACAAAATACTTAAAAGAAAAACAAAGTGTGAGGATCTCCTTCAAAGATAAGAACTGTTTAAAAGGGGAAAAATGGTGGTTATGCAACAGCCACTGCTAAGGATAGGTTGTGAAACGATTGCTGCCTCCATTTCCCCATGAAGTAACGGATATAACATACCAAAAGCGTCACGTGATTGTCTCGTTGATCAAATCTGATTAGGGGCAGCCGATGATGATGAAAAAATTAGCGTCACAAAAAAGAGTACTGCCCAAAGAGCGAGGGGAACTAGAGCCCAAAGAACCAGGGGAACTGGAGCGCAAGATTGTAGAGCTCTATTGCTCCCAAAGCATAATCAGCTCCGCCCCACATGACTGAATTCTAATAATGGAATGACGTTGAAAAATAACGAATAAGCAAAGGATCAAACAAGATAACTACGGAGTCTCTACTGAAGGGGAAAGCTATGATCACCCTCTAACAACGATAATAGAGTCTAGGCTAGAGCCCACTCCCTAGAGGAACATTATCCTTCTGACTAACTGATCGGGAAGACTAGAGCCCACTCCCCAGAGTAAAGTAAATTTCACACGCTTATAAAATAGAGCTCTAGGGTGAGGTGAATGCATCAGGGACACCACTCTTGGCCCAAAATTATACTCTATTCTTTTGAATTAAATATTGATTTAAGTATTAGAGGGTCGACCCTGAAGCTCCCCCGCTCTCTAATTCGTCTTCCCCCCTCGACTCTCTAATTCATCTTTCAGTTGTATGACGTCCAACAAGCTGATGTGGAGCTACCTCAACAATGCTTACTTTTATATACCACTTAACATTCACTTCGCCAAACAATGTGAGATTAGAACATCACACATTTACTCGAGCTTTATCCCTGTTTCCTGTTACTTCCCTTTCCCCATTTCGAGCAACTTGTTACCCATAACAGGTAGTGGAATCCTTCCACCATTTCATTTGTGAAGGACCACTCCCCGGTTTCGAGGTAAAGAATTAGCATAAAATATCAGAAAAAGACATCGTATGGAAACATTAATCTTTTCGTTCTATACTAAAAGCAAAAGGTATGTACGCTACTGATTATTAAGAAAAAGGCTGATTAGTGCAGCTCACGCCGATCACAATCAAAGCAGACAACAACTTTTGGGTTTGCTTATTAATTCCAAGTGCTTATTGTTTTAATATCCTCCACCGTACTATTAGAGGCTATCACCACGATGTGATCTTAGTGGATGAAATGATTAATGTACTGGTTGATCCAAAAGTCGGGTTCATTTAGAGATTGAACAAAGAATCATAGATAAATCAGCATTTCCTGATTTCGAGTGATTTTGTCCTCATAGAACTCGTGTTTAATGGATATGCATGGATTGTAGGTGATTCATACATTCAAAAATTATACTGAAGTTATTAGTTTAAGAGATATTGTGTTTAGGATGATTACTTACGAAAAAAAAAGAAGAAGAATGAAACGATTAATCTAGTTTGTTTTAAAAAATGAGCTTTCATCTATGTGCATAACATGAGCCACTAAGTCACTCATATGACAGGGGTACCAATTAATGATACAAAATAAGAATAATGGAAGAAATTTAGTAAAATTGCATTTTAGTTAATATTTTTAATATGACAGGGGTGTCATTGAAGATTTAGAAAATAGAGGGGGGTGTCTTTGAAGATATGATAAACTAGAGAAAGTATGTTTGAAATCTTTCCAAATTACTAATGTCCACAAAAGTATCATTTTGTTAATAGAACGTCAATTAAAGTAACAACTCATATACATGAGCCCTATATAAAAAGAGCCAACAAAAAAAAGTTTATTATAAATTTATCTATAAGACCTAATCACCTAACAAAAAATTTTGATTCAATCATATATAGTTGAGTATTAACAACCAATCGAAACAAATATAAATTATAACTATTCTATTAAGCTAAACTTTAGTATAAGAATTAATTAACCAATCACAATAAAATTTNACTGTGGAGAAAGCAACAAATTTTGTTTATGAAATGTTTTGGAAATACTTGGAATCGGCTACCAGAATATTTTTTAGGCTCATTTAGAAAATGAGCTCAATTTGTTTCGTTTATATGTAAATACTTGGGCTTGGCTCAGATTTGGCTCATTTTGTGCTCGTTCAGGCTTGATTCGAATTATAAATGAGCTGAACTTAAATAATTGTTTTACGCTTATTTAAAAAATGAAAAACGACCTCAACAGACTTGCCTCAAACCCGTTTGTGCAATTATCAACCTTGCTTGGAAGATATGGTGTAAAAAATTGTTGAAAAATGCTATGCATGCCAAAAGATTTACCAAAAAAGTACTTTTAATAATTGAATTGACAACTCCATGTCGTATGAAAAGCATTTGGTGGGACCGAGCATTGATCAAAATTGTTTTGGTATGAAAAGCATTTTAGTAAATGTTTTGGTATACATAGCATTGATCAAAATTGTTTCGGTAACATTCCGAAGTGTGGGCCTAGTCATGTTGAAACATCTCAAAACTAAGGAATTTCACTGATTTGCTTCTGCTTCTATTCAAATTTACTTCCTTGCTGTGAACCCTTTTTATTCAATTGCGTTGGGGCTGTGGTGGGGTTGTGTTTGTTATATCCTTTTCTTAATAAGGTGCTCCTGACCTGAGTATGGGCTAACTGTTCATATCTTTTCGGTACATGATCCCTGAAATTTTGGTCTTTTTTGTCTCATTTGGTGACATATTTCCATTAATGGCTATCCTATGTTGGATTGTGAAGTCATCAAATTTATGTGCTAACAAATTTCTTCCATTATTCTTATTTTGTATCATTAATTGGTACTATCTTTTTCAGATTATGATGAATTTGGTCGAGATGAGTTTAGTTTTGGGAATAGAGGGGTTCCAAATGGGGCTGATCGTGAAGGGCCGGTGCTCTCGAAGCTCGGTTCGAGCTCCACGGCTGAGCTTCACCCAAAGACTGGTGCTCATGAAGCTAAGCCAACAGCAATGCCACCTACTAGTGTCATGACCAGACTCATTCTCATAATGGTGTGGCGAAAACTCATCAGAAATCCCAACACTTACTCCAGCCTTTTTGGCATTACCTGGTCTTTAGTCTCTTACAAGTATGCAAAATCAAATCACCTACATGACTCGAAGCAATTTTTTGTATGCTTCCAATTCCCATCATTGTTCTTAATCTATTGCAGGTGGGGTATTCAGATGCCTGCTATAATAGCCAAATCGATATCTATTCTGTCTGATGCTGGTCTTGGAATGGCTATGTTTAGTCTTGGTATATCGACTTTATAACCACTTTCAGTATTTCATTCTTATTCTACATGTTTTCGGGGTGGTATTGGTTGAGAAAATGTGATTTTGCGTCCTCATTTGCAGCATGGAAATTTATTTTATTGTGGAACCGCAGGTTTGTTCATGGCATTACAGCCTAAAATCATTGTATGTGGCAACTCGATTGCGGCCTTTTCCATGGCTATTCGATTTGTCACAGGTCCTGCGGTCATGGCTGCTGCCTCAATCGCTGTTGGACTACGTGGTGTTCTGTTGCACATTGGAATTGTTCAGGTACAATAAGTCCGATAACATTGAATAGTATTCGAGTCCTCTGTCTAATTTCCAGTTATGGTATAATCTGTGTTTTTTTTTTCTGACAAATTTTGATTCTTCGAATTCTTAGGCTGCTCTTCCTCAGGGAATTGTCCCTTTTGTCTTTGCCAAGGAATACAACGTTCATCCCGACATACTAAGCACTGGGTTAGAACACAGACATTCCTCCTTTTACTATCTCATGTGTGACAAAAACATAATGTACATTTGCACTTTCTATGATCGCATAATTGAACGTGGATATGCAACTATTTATGCTTGAGCTTTAGGGTGTTATCAACACATGCTTCTTTCGCCAAGTAGTGAATACTGGTATTCATGCATTATTTGAGCGCATGGAGTGCGATATTAATTTGTAGTGTGCATGTTATATTGATTCCAAACGCTTGTAACCCATTTATGTGAGAGCTTGATGTTTAAAAGGCGAGGATTTTTTTTAAAAATTGCATGTCGAGCGATGAAACTTTACTTCATCTAAATGCATTACAAGCCTTATTCGGATTATTTGAGACCAACTACATGAATTGTTTGTCCAATACTATTAAGAATAATTGCACTCACGTGATTGGTGATATTTTTTTCTCAGTTGCATGGTTTATATTCTCTTTTTTGGTGCAGGGTTATATTTGGGATGTTGATTGCTCTGCCTATTACTCTTGTGTACTACATTTTGCTGGGACTCTGACGATTAAGCAGGAAAAGCTCCCCAAGGCTAAGCTAAGCTAATCACAAGAGTTCTGACCCTTTTGGTATGGGTTTTTTTTTGGCTCCTAACAAGAAACATAGAAGTAACTTCGTAGAGAGAAGATGATTGTGAGAGAGAAGAGAGAGGGG